TTTTTTTTTTTTTTTTTTTTTTTTTTTTTTTGTTGTGACAAATTAATTTGAACATATTTTCAGTGTGACAAATGTTTGAAACGATTCAGTCATTCTGGCAGTTATTCGCAACATATGAATCACCGTTATTCGTATTGTAAACCGTATAGAGATTAGAAGGCTTGATACGTGATTCTGTGTGTAAGTTGGCGGCACCGGTGTCGTTGGTGCTGTCGTTGGCAATCGTCGGTCGTTTTGGTCAGATATTTTTTTCCTACGGAACTTTTACCAGAAAGCAGGAAGATTTTTTTTGTTGTTATTGTTGTGGATTTATTACGTGCAAAAAGTGTATTCTCTGGTGGGAATGGAAAATGGAATGCTGAAGACGACGAGATTTTGAATCACTCTGGTTTCAACGAATGTGTATCTGTAACCTTCAATTATCTTCTCCTGCTGTTCAGTAATAATTTTGGTACTTAAACTAACTGATAATAATACTCATAGTAATAATGGTAAAGATAATAATGGTAGTATCTTTAGTTTTACAAGAAAAAAATATCAATTTGGGGGAGCTTCAAAACAGTGTTCAAGTGACTTTAGTTTTTAGCTCTCCTTGTTAGTATTTCCAACGTTCGAAAGGGAGCATTGGAAGTATTATATTTGTAAAATTGTTTTTTTCATTTTTATTTTCCCTTATTTATTTATTTTCCTTTTTTATTCTTATAACGCCATTTTTTTCTTGCCAAAAAGTTCGCATATAGTATCATTCAATGTAGTGTTGGCATTGATTTTAGTGGGGAAAAATTTTTTTTATTTTTATCATCAGATGAATGTTGTAAAAAAAGTACTCCTTTTTTTCATCATATTGTTCAGAAGTTATCAGAAGTTGTTAATTTTTCAAATTGCTGACTTTACTTTTGTTTTAACCTTTTTCTACTTTATTCCTCCTTAGTGCAATTTTATATTATGATTTGGCTTCCAATTGTTTTTGCTGTTTTTTTGTTGTTTTTTTTACCATCTCTTAAATATTCTGTTTGAATTTTAATCTGTTTGAGGGAAGACGAAGAATAGAAAAAAAACAAAAAAATACAAAAAAAGACAATTTTTTCTCGATAATTTATTTCTCACTGTATAAAAATGACTGCTTTTTTGGTTTCAATACGTTATTTTCTTTTAAAGATGCTTAAAAATGACTTTTTTGTTTCATTATTCATTCGTTTTTACTTGATCAATAATGAGAATTTTGCTGTTGTAATTGATACACCCATATAATGTTGTTGACGACGATCGTTGTTCGACTGTATTCGGCGGAGACGCCCAGCGAATAGTGAATAATAGATTTTTCCATGAAACTGTTCCGTTGGATAAATTGTTGGGCTTCAATTTTTGTTTTTAATGTTGTAAGGGATTCTGAAGAAAATTTTTCTGTGCGCCAAAAGTTTGCTGTTGTTGGATTCTGGATTCAGTGTGTATTCAGTTAACAGTCGTTCAACTGGATTGTTCGTTTATAAACTCCCCTGAGTGATTCTTCGAACTAATTTTGTTTTCATCAACTGATCTCTCGCCGGTGCTTTTCTGCCACCTTTCTAAGTATTTATCATTGCTGTTATTATGATTATGATTACAATTGTTATTATTAATGTGTTTTACATTATTAATTACAATTATTATTACTGTTGTCAGTCCCACTATTAGTACCTTTTTCTAATTTTTTTTGTTTGTTTCTTTTGTTATCTTGTCATCTTCATTGCATTTAAAAATGTATTGTGGGGGTTAGGACGAGGGAGGAAATGACGGTAATGACGTTCTAAAACACGCATAAATTAATAGTTAAAAAAGATGGAAGAAAGAGTGTAATTTTGCAGAGGAAAAAAAAGACGAGGAAATTTCTTTGCCTTTTAAAATTTTCCTCTTGCTCACTCAATTTTTTTTGCACCTTTTATCTTTGGTAACACTTAAAGTTTTTTCTATGCTGGGAAGAAGAATATGAGCTTTGTGAACCGTATTAAGAAACACTTCATTTTCTTTTTGTTCATATGGCATTTTCATTGTAATTTTTTAGAAGAAAGCTTTTTTTTTTCAAGTTTGATTGTGTAATGGTGATGTCGATCTGATTCTGTTCTCAAAAAGAATTTTTCTTTTAATTTATTTATTTGCTTCTACCATTCAAAAAAAATTTATTTTTTGGTATCATCTGTTAAACATTTAAATGGACTACGAAACAGCGCACCTGCAATGGGGATACGGTGACGGTGAAAGGGGGGTGACAAGGCGGTTTGACAAATGTGGTCTTTGTGGAATGTGAAATAAGGTGGTTGGGTGAGGGCGATTAATGAGGGGGCCGGGTAATTCGTAAATGATTCGAAATTCCCATAACTTTTAACTGTTTAGTTGTAATATATCGGTAGGTGAATTTGTGGGCGTGCTGTTTTCCGGTTTCTAAGGTAGTGGAAAAAGCGATCTGTGTAGCTGTTTTTTTCAGCTCCAAAGAAGCTAACTATTTTCTTTTAAGATATCATTCTTGTGGCTAATTTTATTTTTTTTTTCTTTGTAAATAAGGAAGTATTTGATGAGTCAATTTCCATAATGCTTTCTAGTCGTAATCTTTCCATTCTGTACTTACACTTTATTGCTGCTATTATTATTACTATGATTATTATTATTATTGTTATTATTATTATTCTTTTCAGTGCAGAAAAGTTTTTAATGTTAAATAATGTTGTGGTCATCTGAGATTTTATTTCATCTTTTTTCCAGTGCAGTTTTGTGTTTTTTTCATTCTTTTTTTGTGTTTTTTTTAAAATTTTTTTTGTTTTGACGTGCTGTCGTCTGTTTGGGAACAACAGCATTTAAAAAAAGAAAAAGAAGACAGAAGAGAGCAAAAGAAAGTAAAACAATTACACGGAATAGCAAAACTGAATCAGGTTTATTCAGTTGTAGTGTTGTTTGAATTGTACTTCAATTTTTTTTTCTTTATTTTTTTCTCTCCGTTCTTCCTTACCAATGATTGTCGTAGCTTATATTCTTTTTTTTATTGCTATATATGTTATGCTCCGCGATAAACGCTTTAATTAAATTTCGATGTGTAGCTGACAATCAGATACACCCGTCATTAATATACGGACGAGTGCGTATGAATGAATGTGGATTTTAGTGTTGTTCCATTTAAATTACAAAAGAAGCAAGCATATGGGGGGACTCCTTGGCAGAAATACGACAGTTTTTGGTCATATATGCACACACATTTGTTGCCTGATTATGGTGGTGGCGACGACGTTGATGATGATGATAGTGGAGAGGAAACTGCTTAATGAGGAAGATGTCAGGGGAGGCCATAAGTTGAAGAGGCCACTAATTTGGCCAGGAAGCTGTGGGGTCGTTATTGATCAACAAAAACAACAGCAAAGACCACAAGAAGGACCTGTAAAAGTTGTCCTGCTGACGCTGTTTTCCTTTGTTAAATGACGGAGACGTGTATCAGGACAGCTTAGTGACCGCTGTATTTGTCAAGCTCACCCCATTCACTCCATTCAGTTATTTACTAATTTTTGGTTGTTTACGGTACAGCAGGCTAGCAGACGGGATGTTATAATTGCGGAGAGCGGATACATTTAGCAAGGGGCTGTAAAATTTATGGAAGTTCTTTTACCCGTTTTTCGCGCTGAAATGACACACCAAAGAGGCAGATGAGTACTTGAACTGAAAAATTTTTCGACGAGAAAAAGGCCAGGCTGGATAAAATCAGAAATAGGACAGGGAGCTTTATTGGGACGACGGTTGCTTAGTAAGGTTGCTTATTCCGTTGAAATTATAAAAAATTGGGCTTTAACTCTTGATTTGTTAACAGCATATTTTGGTAGAACGTTCTTGAGTTAGACTGATCAATCATTATTTGGGAAATGTCCAGCAACAAGCAAAACAATGACAAGATCGTCAGCGATATATCTGATTGTATCAATATGTTGGATTCGCAATACATATTCTATGTGCGTACTGTTGTATACTAATAAGCGTAGATTTAGACTTTGCTTGTATCCGAAGTGCCTTCCGCAAAAAGAAACGAAGAGAAAACTGATAAAATCATTTGTC